TCTTGAAAAACTACGGCATCAGCGCAGTATTGTGGCAAAGCAATCATAATATTGAATTGATATTGCTACTTGCGCTCAAGAAGAAACACAAAGAGGACAGCTGAAAATGCCAGATAGATTTTGATGCGCGGTCGATTTTAATTTTTTTATTATCAAAGTTCAACAGTAATGCCGCTTGCGACGATACAGTACAACGGTATCGTAACCTAACCCCACAAAAATCTTGTCGGTACTTTCATGTAAATACCCTCTAACAGACCGATGCTAAGTTGTGCAAATCCATGATTCTTAATTACGCGTTATTCAAAAAAGCGAGCACATAGGTTGAGGCAGACACAGACTTCTCCAAATTATTTCAGGTGTATCTACTCCGCGTGAAGCTATAAGTGGCGGAAAGCTACCTCCCGTTCGTGGACTCTCGTTGACACTTTTCAGCCCCAATTCAAATGTAGCGTACCCATTTGTTAACCTGATAAATATCCTTTCTAAAAGATCTTTGCTAGGCTCATCCTACGTTAACAACATTGTTCGCCCACTGGATGCAATTCATTGCGTCTGATATGGTCAATGTGGTGGAAACGCAAGCAATAATCGATGGTGAGCTGAAAAAAATGCCAAATTCCGAAACAATGGATTCCTAAAACCTTTCATAAAATCGCCTTTCAGGAAAAATTCGATCATTTCCATGTTGTCGTCCGGGTTTTGCGCATCCTGAATGTGATGCCATAGATGTGCCAAAAGCCGACCCTGCCTATAGGTAACGCGACTAGCACTTTTTCTAAATGGCATTAGCTATTCGCGTATTTTCTTAGTAAGTATTCTAGGAACCGAATAACATGCCTTCCTCATACCCGTACCATGGTTGCTCCAAAATCGGGATGTGCTCTCGGTCCAAGGGAGCAAGCTAACTTGGTCTCATCCTATCTTGACGGCAGTATGATCTACGGATCTAATGCAGAACGTGCTAAGCAGTTGAGAAGTTTTAATCAAGGTATCAACTCGAGGTAGATGCAAAAATGGATTGATAAACATGAGTA